CTCCGTGTAGGGGTGCGGGGCGGTCCCCGGGTTGGGGTCAGGGGGGACGCGGCCCTCTGCGAGGGGCTGGGGCGGCGCAGCGTCGCCGTCCCCCTCCGCACGGGTCGTTCTGTGCTTGGTCGTCGCTAAATCCGCTTTTGGGGCGATTTTACAGGTTTCTTGCGGCCTGGCGTTTCGTCGCGCCAAGGCTGCACCACCCAGCAGCTCTGCGATCACGTTGAGCAGAACAGGTTTTTGTGGGTTTTTTAACTACTTACAAACATTTCATTTCTGAAGGCCTCCTATGCTACAGTGTAGAGAGAAATGCAGATGTATGTCCATTTTTAGGCTATTCTTTAGGATTCCGGTCATTTGAAGCTTCTATATTCTCAGAACTTGCTACAAGGTGTATTCAATAATGAAAATAGTTTACTTTTCCTGCAGAGGACTCCCAGGCTCTCTTTTCCATGCATTAGATGCAGCTGTCATGCGTAGTAAACATGTTTAGTAGACGGTAGCTAGTTCTTACCTCATGACTTTTCTTCGTTATATCTTCAGCATTTTTTTATAAAGAGCATGAGGTTTATCGACTCCACTTTCCGCGTGGAGAAACTGAGGCAGTGAGAAGGAAAGTCCCGAAACCAACAGCAGAGCCAGGTGACCTTTTTGGCAATTCGTTAAATGATTCAAACTCAACAGCAAACGTCGTTGTGGTGATAGGGCCCAAGAAACTGCACTACCCAGCAAATGAATTCACTCTGCTATAAGACACAAGTTTTTGACGGGTCATGGTTCTGCCATGTGGGGGAAGTAACTGCTCAGTTGTCCACTCTGATTATAACAAAAGCTGCTAGTTTAAAAATACAGACTCATGCTTGTTAATAACTTAGAGTGGACTGTAAATCAGTGTGAGGGTAGAAAGAGAGGCTGCTTTCTCTCCTTTGGACTGCCTGCCAGAGGGAACTAGTCTTTAATCAGTTTCTGTTATTAACTGAAATGAAAATGTGAAGCAGGTAATCTGCAGTGTGTGGAGAACGAAGCTTTCTTTCGTTAGCGTTCCTGAGGATGGTATGGCCTGGTTTAGCGGTGACTAGCGCCAACTGGTCTGCTAGCCACTCACAGACCTCTGTGAAATTATTTGGTGGCCTGTGGTCGGTTCAGCTCAAATTGGATGGTAAATGGCTTTCTTCTCAGCAGTCTCAGGAAACAAGAGCAAGGTCTGAAAGAGCCTTAGGAAAGGGTTCTTGCCTCCCATGTCCCGTGGAGTGGTGCCAAGGATGAGACTGTGAGTAACAGCGCTGAAAGTGTTGCGTGCGGCTTGTGGCTAAAAAGCAAAATGTATCCTCTGCTATTGTGCAAAGCTAGTTCCTTCCAAGCAAACCATGTGAAAAAAAAAAAAAAAAAAGAAGAAGAACCTTCCCAGAATGCCAGCCTAGGTAGGTACATTTGTTGTGGTGGTTTGAAAAAAAGAATTGGCTTGTCTGTGGTCTTGGCTTTCCCCCATCCCCAGGGCTTGAGTGTCTAGGGCACACTCTGAAAGCAGCAGAAGCAGTGGGCAGGCTGATAACAGAAACTGTGGGACAAGCTGGTAAGAGCTGTGTCCAGTGCCAGGCTGCTTCTAATCGCTGCCGTGCCAAAAGTCACTTGAAGCCAACCCTTCTGCCACGCTCACCTCTCTCATGTGACATGCCCACTGCTAATCTACAACAGCACATGTTCAATGGCTGTCTCTGGGAAGCGCATTATTGCTGTTAACAGGCTTGAGGTTTCTAAGAGCTGAAGAATGACGGGCCTGAAAACAAACAAAATCTACAAAGAAACATGCTGTTCATATACCAAGTTTGGTATAAAAAAAGACACAGTAGTTCACAGAAATGTGCTTAGGGGAGGAGAGGGAAAGGAGGCACTTTAAAACCACCTCTACTTCAGAAAGCGCTCACGTGCTTTCTGACTGGATTAAGAAGCACTTTATAGGAGGCACATGATTCCAGGGAGCTATTTTTAGCAAGAGAAAAACTAATGTTGAGTGATTGCATCTTTTTCTCGCTTCCCTTTTTTTTCTTTGCTTGTGAACTGCCCTGAGCGAATGTATTACTGGAAATTATTTTGCCAGCTGTTTTGGCAACTGGATCAAGGTCTGCAGCTTCTTCACAAGTTTTGGCCATTGTAGATAAATGCTACTTTTCAAAATATGAAATAGATTAATTTACTCTCGGTAGCTATTGGACACGTTGTACAGCTCCCATTCAGAATGCAGCAAATGAGTATGCAATTCGAAACTGCAGTTATTCCTTTTAGCATAGTTGCAGAAAATAAATAAAAACTGTGCATGAATAGCTTGAAAGTTGCTCTCAAAGTCGAAGGAAAATTTCCAAATAGCCTTTCCAGAAATTTGTCTTAGAAAATACCTACAATGCAGCAATTAAACATCGTAACTGTTCTACTGTCTTGCTAATGAAACTAAGCTGTTTAGAGAATCTTTATTTTTTGGAAAATGATAAAGCTGTTGTGTTTTAATGAAACAAAATTAGTATACCTGAATTTTAAAGCTTGCTTTTAATTGTCGCTCTTGAGGATGGTTAATAGCTTGTACGAGGATGACAATATGTTTGATAGCCACTTTTTGAGATGCTGTTGTGGTGCTAAGCTTTGTCTTAGGAGCAGTTATCTGTCCTTTCATTAGCTGGTAGAAAAAGGTGGAAGTCATTTGTGGTGCGGAAGTCTGGATTAAGCTGATTTTTCTCTTGGAGCAGTATGGCAGCTTATAGATTTCTTAACTCTAGCCACGCATAAAGTGGTAAAAGTAGTTACTTTCAAGGAGTTAAGTCCTTCCACAGTCATCTTTGTATTCAAATTAGTTTAAGGTGCTAGTTTCTCGTTCCTTCTCCTGTCCTTAAAAGAAACATTTTTAAAGCGCTCACGATCATCTAACGTATAATAAACGTATAAACGTTTATAAACGTATAACTTCCAGATGAGAAACTCAGAATGGTGATTCTGAGTTTCTGTTGCTCAGTGATAATAGTCCTGTTTATCAACAGGCAACAGGACTGTGTCATGTTTTGCTCAAGCTTCCATTGTTTCCTTTAACGTGGTGAAGCGTTTCACACAGCGGACACTGTAGTTAACTGTGGTGGGACTGGGATTTCACCTCTAGAATTCTCCAGGAAAATTCTGAAATACTATGTTTCAGTTATAAGAAAGTAAGAAATAGGAAATAGGAAATACTGTACCCCTTAGTGCCTCTTGCTAGCCTGCTCTCAGAACATGGAAGTTTAGCTGTTGTATGATGGATGTGGTAGTGAACTTGGCCATATGTTAAATACACCATAGCGGTGCAATATAATTTATAATAAATTAATTAATATTCAATAAAAGGCCACAATTACTGCCGCCAGTTGTTACCTAATGTCTTCCATGGTGTGAATGTCAGAGAAGATAACCTGCTAGGCTGCAAAGGGAGGGGAGGAATGAATGAAAGCACAGCAGAAAGTTTTTTGAACTGGTGTGAGAATAAATGGAGGTAACACTGTGCATTGAGGAAGCATGGATCAGGGATTTGGTTTTTTACTGCAGGTATTTTAGCACGTTGAATTGTGTAGCTGTGCATGTAGCAGAATTTCTAAAAATACCTAAGCAGCCTGGGCAGATAATAGATAAATACCTAACTGGCATTTTAGGTAGTGCAATTGCTTAGGTTACAACCCTTAACCCCATCCATCTACCTCAGCTATTATCTATGTATTTTCAGCACCTAAACTGACATGATAGAGTCCTCAAGGCATCTCTGTTTCAGCCGCTGGACTAGCAAATGCGCACTCACTGCTGCTCTGCTTAGAGCCGTAGTTCACACATACACCTCGGGGGGCTTCTCAGGCTAGGTCTCCTATGGGCTCTGACCTCCTACATGCTCTCAAAACTGTATTTATTTTTCAGTGTTTTTTTTTTTTTTTACCCTGAAGACAACTAGGATGAGAAATTATGGTTTGATCAGAAAATAGATGTGGTTTTCTTTTACCCACATCCCTAGCTGTAAAGACAATTATTTTGTAGGTACGTTTCTCCAGCCTCTTGCTTTGGTTGATTTGGAGAATAGGTTTCAGTCGAATATTTTCTGCATCTCACCTAAGTCAGTCAATTCTTTATCATAAGTCAGTTGTTCCTGTTTTGCAGCATTTGATGTAACTTATTAGTTGTGCCTGGCGAGAAGGGGAAGAGGGAGAAAGAAAGAGAGCGCATGTGTACACAGAGGTTGGTTCAGTTCTTAGACTGGGTATATCCCCCGTAGCGCTTTTGGAAAATGCCTGGACAGATGAAAGCATTAGACTTTCCCTTCCTTCCAGGATCCTTCCTATGAACTTTTACCTAGCAAAATACCCTTATTATGAAAGATTGGATAATCTTTCTTCTTCATATCTTTCTTTTTCAAAAAAAGGTGTGTATGCAGCCCTAGTTCACAAAGACCTTGTTCCCTAACTTACATGCATGTCAGAGCTAAATGTCTTTGGAAAAATATGTCTTTGGTGAAATACAGTGGGACCTGACTGGAAGGAAGAAAACATTTTTACCTTATAGTAAGCAAATAACAGCCAATAACGTCATGCCCACCCACCACAGCCACTGGCGTATTAAACATAAACGTTAGTAGACATACTTAGGGGTCATTGCCTCTGTCCCCAAACTGTGCTGGATAGCTAAACATGAGTATTCTGTACCCATACGTACAGTTGGGTTTTAATGCCTTCCCCCCCGCCCCCAGCCCCTTCATACAGTTAGACACCAAGACTGATGCTTGTGAGTGAGCTGCGAGTCCGTTTGGCAGTGTGCTGATTGTTGTGATCAAAGGAGCTTAATGCTCAAAAGTTGTTATTGTTTTTGTTATGGACATTGTCTTGTATGACTTTTCTGCTGTGTAAAATTTAAATTATGAGCCAGAAACACATGTACTTCATAAATCAACATCATTCATTTTAGGTGGGAAATAGCCCTATGCAACTCTGTGTGTGTGTGTAGGCATGTATAAAATAAGGAAACACAAGTACGTTGTGCCCAAGTATTCATGAATCGCAGTGTTTGCTGCATAGAGAATGGGAGTTAATGGCAGGGGGGAATGACAGTTTTCTGCAGTGGGCTCTTATGCGCTGTACATAGGCAGTGAAGAGGCATTTTGCCTCCTTGTGAAATACTTTGATGAATAACCTATGAGGAGCTGGCTGCTCCCCTTGCTGGATGAGTGACAGTTCCACCAGTATAAAAAGGCCCCTGGGGCTGGACTGTGCTGGGTGTAGCTGATACTACAGCAGAGAGAGGACTTGTCCTAGGGACTGCAACTAGAAAACCTGTGTTAGGCTGTAGCTACTAACAAGTCTAAGCTACACAAAAATGCGTGAAATTGTGCATCTTCAGATTGGCCAGTGTGGAAACCAAATTGGAGCTAAGGTGAGGCCTCTTTACAATATTGGTCGTTAGTAGTAAATGCTATCAGTAGCAGCAGGTCAGATATCATTAACAGGCTGGAGCTTTGGGGATGGAGGGATGAGTACGTTGTTGTCTGAACGAGAGGATGTATGTTGTGTTAGTAGTGAGTAGGAGTATTTTGATGTGAAAGTGGCAAGATGGGCTTGCTCCTTGTGCAAAAATTGATGTGAAGACTGGCAAAAAAATGAAACTTCTTTGCAGTGGCTGTATGGCACTGGGATTATATGTGCTCCAGAGGTTTCCTGCTGGGCCTCATATTCCAAGGGGCATTAGTCTGGGCTATAAAATATTGGGACAAGTGAAGAAGTCAGCAATTCTAGGACTGTACAGATAGCATGCCAGTGCATTAGTTCAGATATACATCACTGACTCCCCCCCCCACACACATTGTGACCATTTAGATGGCTTTATTAGTCAACAGGATAACCTGTGCTAACCCTGAACGATTAATGTTTTTCAGACCAGCACAAAGTGCAGTTAAGGACTCCTGCCTAACTGGCCTCCTGTGACAGCTAGCCATGTCACTTAGAGTCTATTTGTTTAGTTCGAACAACTGCATGCTGTTGCTTAGAGAGAAGTCGGTCATTGCTGACAGTGTGTGCGCGCTATGGAGCCAAAAAACATTGCTTCTGCTGTGTGATGGCCATAGAATTAGCTGCTGTTGTTCATTAGTAGGACATTGTCTAAAAAAAGTATTGGGTTAAATTGGGGGGTGGG